CAGATACAGAATGAACTACTGTAAAAGACAAGCTCACAGCAGCCACTGAACAGATGAAGACCAGGGTCAGGGTTTTCTTTTTCCTCTGATGGAACTGATTTTCTTTACAGCCATTTCAATATATATATATTTTTTCTTTTGTAAGATGGCTGATGCACTGATCTTTCTTTATTTGACAATACCATTTTCATAAGTGTTACAGAGTTCAAAATAAAATTCAAATTAGTTTTTTTAAACAAAGCTGTGAACGTGTCAGACTGAAAGGAGAAAGGGCAAAAGTCTTTTCTAAAAAGTTTCCTGCAGAAAAAGTAGAGGGTGGCTAACTGTAATAGTAATGAAACAAAACAATTGAGAATAAAAAAAAAAAAAAAATATTTAGTAGGGTTAAATCGTAAAGACTGAGGTCATGTTTCAAAAAGACAAGAATATATTAAATATGAAAAACTGGCGAGTCATTATACCTGACGACCATTTTGACTGGATATACACCCATGCTCAGCCTTTTGCTTTCAGGAATAACGTAGGAGACACGCCCACTGCTGTTGGTGAGCTCCGTGTCGAAGTACACCCACTCTCCAGAGGGAGGCTGGGTCATGATGTGGATGTCAACCTGCAGCAGAGGACACTCTTTAAAATCTACATTAACACACAGGACTATTATCCCAGTCCGTCATGTCTCACTGTGTCAATACCTTCTCCCCTGTGAGTGTGACCATGTCCAACGGGCCGTACATGAAGCGTCCAGTCACCTGCTGGACTCCGTCCTCTGTAAACACTGCATCATTTACACGATGGTTTGCTGTAACATTCTAAGAAAAGGAAAGAATGAAGAAATATAATAGAATACAGTACAGTGCACTGCAAGGTATAAAATAATACAATAAAATACAGTCGATGAGTCTTACTCTTATTTTGACATGAGTCCTCTTGCGAAGCCACTTCTCCCGAGGTTTGGAGGGAGTGAATTCCGACACCTCTTTACCGTTAAGCTCCAAAATGCTAGAGTTTTCATGTCTCATCACCTGGAGAGAAATGAAGAAGCAATAAAAATATTTCTGCTCAATTATACCAACAGATGCTCTGGTCATTATCTGGAGCCGTCTTCCCTCTGCTCGTTGATCAATCTGAACAGGTAGAAGTAGGTGATGTGTCTTCATGTTCTTTGTTTATTTCATAAAGCATGCAAGTTTTATTAGTAATCTGGGGGTGGGGGGAGTAGAGCGAGGTCGAGGAGAGTGGTTTTGAGTTTCCCCTAGCGGCTCAGGATGAGTAACTGGTATAGAGTGAAGAAAAACTCCATACTAAAGGCAGAATGACATTAATGAAATGTTACGCAGCATTTTTGAAAAAAATCAGATGATGAGGCTTTAGATCACCTGTCTTAGGAGGAAGGAAACTACATCTGTGGACTCCCAGTAGGAGGCGTGGAAAAGATGTGGCAGAGCCACCGTGGGAAACGCCGTCAGGGCATCAGGACAGTAGAGGGCGTAGTCAATCCTCTTACTTCCCCACCACCGGGAGGCGACTGCCGCAAGAGAAGTAGTAAATGTATTAGGACAGAGTGAGTTCAGGTATTTAGATCTCAGTGAGGGAGTAGAAGTGGAAGTTTGTTTTTTTACTACAAGGCACTAGACTGTACCTCTAAGAATGCAAAGACACACGGGCAACAACGGTATCAACAGATCAGAGGGCGTGAAGAGGTCAGGGTTCTGACTGTTCTCTATCAGACAGTCACACTCAGGTCACATGCATTTATAGAATAATTGAAGAAAACTTCAGTGGGTCCATGCGTGGTTCCCTAAGAATGGAAGAAAATGTCTGCTTCAATGCATCCTACTCTACTGTGAGGAAGTGCATTTTTTTTAAAACTTTGTTTCTTATTACTGTATATCTCTCTAATATGTATTTATTTCTGTGTATTTATAATTATTTACAGTAAAGAAACTGGAGGAATAAAGAGCAGCCATCAGCAACACGGAAGCTATAAAATATATACTGTATATATATATGTATTTTCATGTTGAAATGAACGTGTGCTCATTTGAAATGCCTTTCATTGGATTTTTTTTTTAACATGTAGTTTATTTATTATTGTTTATATATATTTGTGTCTGACAGAGGTATGTCTGTAGCGGTGAGAATGGATCTGTTTGAGTTTTTTGGAAACAGGGCAACTCAGGAGGACTACGTCAGGAAAGGAAGATAGGCAAAAACTCAAGACATTAGGATGGACTCTAGGCACATCCTTTCCTTCATGTCCTTAAACTACAGCTCCCAGGATACCTTGTTCTACGTTCTCTGACACCCTGGGTGACGGCGGAGTAGAGCTGATGTCAGTGATGTTAGAAGATACATCAGGTGAGTCAGACTTGATTCCCGAGGTCATGTCAGGGGTCAAAGCCGAGCTGTGCTCAGACTCCACGCTGTTAGGTCTGTGAAACACCTGATGAACTTTGTTGTACGAGCGAAAGGACGATGCCCGAGTGACACATTTATGGTAGGGAAGAGCCAGGACAGACTTCAGACTGGGCCTTTGAGTGTGGCTCACTTTGTGAGCTAAGGGGAGACGGGATTGTCAACAAATAGTCAATTTGTGAACAGAATCTCGTGGTCGACACGTGAACTTACTAGAGGCGATGTTGGAGGCGGTGTAAGCATCGGCTAAGCCGGACACCTGGCTGGCAATGCTAGCCTCGCTAGCCCTGCGGTTACAGCGAAGGTGAGGGAGTCCAGGTGATGTAGAGAGAGAAGACTGACCATCCACCAGAGGATGTGAGGGAAGAGCATCTGCTGCAGAGAGACAAAGGGTCAGAAGGTCACTGGGGGGCAGACAAGAAGAGTTTTTTTTTTATTTACTGCATTTTGACATATTTTTCTAAGATGTACATTTTGGAAACAATCTTAGCGAGTCTCCCTAACCTTGGGGAGAAATAGTGTATCTAAGTCTACAGGTTTACTGCACTTGGAACAAAGACGTTTTTTTTAATAAAAATTCACCAGACGTTTTCTTGGTTTGTAAAAACCAAGAAAAACAAGAAAATTTCCAAATTTTCAATGGGGAAATTTACAACGTGAGTGTTTGCAACTGACACAGGCTGCCACAGGAGGCGCCATTTGGGATATGTGGTTCTTCCAGGAACCAAACTGAACTCTATGCTCTCTGCTTGAAAAGCAGACGTGCTAACCACTACCATACAATGTTCTTTAATGTGATTAAAACTCTAACAACTATCAAAGTAATATTTATGGTGTTAAGACAAATTGCATCAGAGTCACCCACTCTCTGCATGGAGCTGTGACATTTGCCAATTGAAGATGGGAACAGGGATGGACGTCTCACTGATGCTGCTCTCCTGACAACGCTGGGACGCTGCACCACCAGAGTCAATGAGGAGATGAGGATTGCTCTGCACAGTATCGGCTGGAAAAGACATGAAAACAGAAAAACATCAACAACATTAAAAGTAACGGATTTGTATTACAGTGTTGAAAATCTAAACTGTTACTGTAACTAGATTACACTAAAGAAAAAAACTACAGAAATTCATTTGTCTCAGCTGTGATTACCATCGTCTCCTTAATGAGTATATTAAAAGACTCACGGAGCAGAGCCGAGTGGCCGTCGCCCAGGGGAAAACGCTGATAGCGGGGAACACTGAAGGGAGGCAGCAGGTGGAACCTCCTGTCCAGGAGCGACTCCAGGCGTGAAGCAGAGGGGTCGGCTGGGTGAAACAGGTTGTAAACTTGCTGACAGGCCGGACGCAGAGCAGACACTAGAGCAAAGAATCAAACGTGAAGAAAGTTTAGTTGTAAGACACTAAAAAACACAGCTGATACGGTGGTACAGCAAACAATAAAAGTTTTTAAAAAAAACGTGGGATGGAAATCTTAAAAAGCCTTTCTATGATCAGAAAACAATATTTAAAAATGTCTTGAAAGAAAAAATGCTTCAGTCACTGCTCCGCAAAACAAAGCTGAAATATTCAATATTAAACAATGGACAGAATTTTAATGAGTCAAGAGGTTTGGTAATTCAACGTTGTTGGATTTGACAGATGTTAGTACGTCAGACAGAGGATTTGGATTAAAAACACTTCAGAGACGGTTTGGAAACTGCAGTAGAATTCTTCAGGGCCAGATTTTTAGAAGCTTTGTTTTTGTCCTTTTATGGAAAATTCTTGCTGATTTTATAACCAAAAACAAGGATGGATGCCTGGAGACGTGTCTGTTTACATCACGACCAGCAGCAGGTGAAGATGAAGCCAGATGAAGCCCTGTGTGGCCCAGAGTATTTGTGTGAGGTACACGACAGAAGAGAATGTTGTTACTCACCGTCCAACGTGGGCACCACAGTCTTCCTCAGAGCCAGCACCAGTCCCAGAGGAGAGCCGAAGAGGAAGAAGTCAGTGACCTCAAAGTCAAACTTTCCCAGAGAGCCTCCCTCCAACATTGTGCTGTTGCTAGAACGTCGTGATCCTGGTTCAGCGTGAAGTACGATGGAGTGGAGACTGAACAGAGGAGTCACAAAGACATAGATTTAAACTAAATAATAAAATCGATCAGAAAATAAATCAAAAATATTTTAAATAAATATTTTAAACAATAAAATAATATTTAAGATTCTTCTTCTGTGTTGCATGTAAAGAATATAGTGTAGTCTGCCTATTCAAATAGGTGGCCCGAGGGCCACATGTGGCCCAGAGAGACCCTCAGAATGGTCGAGTGAGAGTAATACAACTGGTGAATAAAGAGAAATTCCTACAGTAAAAGACACCATAAATGCAACACTCACCGCTAACCTACCAATATGCAACCCACAATGCATCACTTCTGTGAAAGTGTTAGCAGTTTGCTATAGCTACCATAAAATGTCCCTCTGATCAAAATCATCAGTTTAACTTTGCATGAAATGACAAATAATTTTATTTTTGCCACAAACTATGGGCTCCAAGCTATTTTCTGTTTGTTTTTTTTATTTCATGTATTCATATATTTTGTTTATTATTAAGAATTGAAATTCTGTTTATTAGCCACAAAGATGCCTAGCTGAATTTGGCCAAACTCTCTTTATAATTGAATAGCCATGCTACAAAGTTACTTTAGCACCTCTAACAAAACTAGTTTTGTTTGTAATAGTGAAATAGTTGTTCTAGTCTCACCTGGACAGAAAGGCTTGGTGGTGTTTGATGGTGTCCAGCTCGTACGTGGACGAGTCGCTGCGCTTGCGTGGAAGTTGTTTCTTGGGGTCATCAGGCCCTGAGCTGCGAGGAATGTCAATGTTGCTGCGGCTGAGGTGACGGCTTCCTTCAAGGGACGGTGAAGACGGAGCGATGCTGTTGATGACAATACCTGGAGTGAGAAGGTCCGTGTCCTGAGAGGAGGAGGAGAAGAGAGAGCAAAGAGAAACGAGGTCAGAACTCAAACGTCTCACAGAGTCTGCAGCTGTGTCATGTTATTATTCTTAAAAAAGTTGAGAATAAAATAAATATTAAATATAACTGAGAATATAATAATAACTATGAAATGTTCAGACCTGTCTCCCAGACACCTCAACATGCGCTGTGTCTTAATTTACAGTTGATTATTTAAAGTGTTATTTACAAACTCTTTTCCATGTTCATGGGTTGAGCTGGGACTAATTCCAACACCCTGGACAGTTCCCCAGTCCGTCACGGAGCCAAATATAGAGACAAACAACCATTCACACTCAGATTCACACCTATGGTCTATTTAGAGTGAACAATGAACCTAATCCTGCATGTTTCTGGACCACTGGAGGAAACCAAAGCAACTGGAAACCATACAAAAAGACTAATTACCACTGGGAATCAATCCAATGACCTTCCTGCTGTAAGGCAGGAATACTAACCAGTGTTTCACTGTGTTCTGGTTACACAGGATTCAAAATACTAATTGTGCTTTCAGAGTCTGTGCGTCTATTCAAAGGTTCTTCACAAAGTTAAATGTTTCCCAATTGACTCCAAATGACTGTCTGAGTGATAAATGAGTTTCATTTAACGTCAGTCTGATCAAACTAATACCTGAGCGCTGATAGTGCTGCCTCGTCTGCTGCTGTTCTGACTCTCCGACACTGTCACAGAGCTGCTGCACAGAGCGTCAAATCCCAAAATCCCACCGACACAGTCCCCGATGACACACACCTGACAGGAGAGAAAGAAACACACACACATTAACACACACTTCGCCTCAGCTGAATATGTACCACGGAGGGAGAAATACAAAACAGATGGAGATGTAAAAAAAAAGATATCACAAAGACATGACACTGACCTGTCCTGTAAAAGAAGCTCCATCTAAAGACTTGATGAAGTCACTATACACCTGATTGGCTCGTAAGATGACGGTCGCCACGGCATCCTGATACTGAGGTGCGGAAGTCGCCAAAAGAGGCAGAGCAGCCAGTGGGATGTGGTCCTGACTGCTGGACAGGCAGCCCTCGTCATAGCTGTAGGGACTGAGGCTGAAGAGCAGAGAAGAAACAGTCAGAGAAACACTGTTAGCTTCTTTGCTAACTGCGTTTATCTGTCGGCTAACAGCAGTTAAGCTAACACTGTCGTGTTAAAATGACCAGTGTACCAGATCAACTGTGATGTGGATGAGGACAATTCTGCAGTATACAAATACAAGGTACACATATATTGAATATATTTTACAGTTGGTGTGAATGATTATTTGCCTGGACGGTGGACCTGATTGGACAGGTGTCCACTGTCCAGGCTGTAGCCCACCCTCACCAGATGACTGCTTGAATTGGCTCATAAATGAACAAACCTGTACTCCATCTAAGACGGCCTTTTATTTCACATGTAAACAGCAGGTTGATCTTAATATTCAATAACGTTAGAATAATTAAAGCGCGGTGGTGTTCTCAGGGCTGTCAGTTACCTGGAGACGAGTGAGAACGCCTCAGCACACACAGCAGGACACGGGACCATCCTGATGGCGATGCGTCCCAGCACTGCAGGGTAATGGAGCCTCATCACGGTCTCAAAGGCCCCACTCAGTGTGTTCACATCTCCCTGCTTGCTGCTCTGCTCACCTGCAGATCAGCACAAACACTTTGCATCAGTGATTAGAATCAGGTCTTAAATGTCAGCTTCACTCAAGAGGAATAAGTTCCAGTTCTTATTTAACCCCATCTTACCAGGACTAGTTTGTAGTATATTACAGACAGAGCACAGGTCGCACCTTAAGATTAGGTTCAGTAGAACTATTATCATTAATACCATCACAGCAGCTTCCATTCACTCACTTTTCTAAATGTCTGAAATTACAAACTGAAGTATTTTGAAAAATAAAACCAAAACAAAGAAGTACTTGATAACCTTTGGGTATTTACTATTATTACAACAAGAAAAAAAAACTATTAAATTAAAACTGAGGGAAAGAATACAACATTCCCAGAACTTCTAGAATTTGTCGATAGCTACATATTAAAGGTTTAAATAATGTTTAGAATTTAGAAGAAAAATCATATTTTGAGAAACAGAAGGAGTGCAGGGTCGAGGTCCACGTTCTTGTACCTGAGCCGGTGTCCAGAATGTTTCCTCCATTTAAGACCAGGATGAGGACATGGATTTTGGACGGCTGGAGACACTGCTGAGAGGAACAATCCTGCATGAGAGGACAGAAGACACAGAGACACAGAGACACGAGAAACGGGGATTAAAAAAGAGGCACCAAAATAAAAGTCTGTTTTATATTTTATATTGAAGAGTTGGTCTACAGAGAGTAATGTATTCCATCACTTTATCCTACACTAGGCAGAGAAATAAATCACTCTTTAGCTGATTATTTGTCTCCACTCTGTAAACACCTGATGGACATGAAGACATTGACATGGACAGCACTCTCCTCCAATCAGAGTTTACACAAACTCACCAAACAAAGAGAATCAGGAATACTAGTCATTGTCTGCCGGTGCTGAACTGAGCAGCAGCAGCAACTGACAGACCAAACCGGCAACAATAAAGAGTGTGTAAATGGAGAGTTGCTGCTGTGAGAGGCCAGTGTATGAATGGCATGAAGAAACACTTGCCTCCATCTGTGTGTCCTCGTTACTCATCACTGCGTACTCTCCGCCCGACTCTGGATACAAAGCTTCTGGGAAAATACAATTAATTTATTTCACAATTTTCACAAAGACAAAGACAGTCATTTGTTCCAGTCACACACACACACACACACACACACACACAGCTAGGCTCTCCCACCTTGTGGCTCATCCACCTCTATTGTTTCTATCTTGTCCATCAGGTCATTTGAGCTCCACTTGGTGATTTCTTTGGCAAACATTTCTTCATTATCAGACAGGTCCTCTGTCAGACACACACACACAGAACATCATCCCATATCCAACTACTGCATCTCAAACACAGGGTTAGGGTCAAAGGTGAGATTGAGTGAGTGTGAAACATCTATTATGTTTATCAAGCTGACTGATCTAAAGCCGCTCCACGTTCAATGGGTTCGAGCCTTTTATCAGTTACTGGTGAAATCTAAGTCAATGCTGAGAAGACTTGTTTTCATGTGTTTAATGATTTGTTTAAGGGACGAACAAAATGATGAACGATGAAAATGTTGACTGTATGACTTGTCTGTTACACTGGTTGCAAAGTTGTGTTGCTATGACTTCAAAAGAAACAAAAATGTGTGATTGCGGATTATTTTCTATACTTTTAACTTTTAAAATTATTATAATAAATTAAGAAAATAATTCTTAATGCTGATATTTTAATTAAAATCTTAAAATTATTAATTTTGTAGAGTACTATGTAACTTTTTTTAGCTCTAACTTTGCCCTTTCCCACCCTAGTAAAAAGGTTCAGCTTAAAAAAACCTAATAAATCCCACATCCATTTAAATAGTCAGCCTATTTTCTGCTTCTCTCAGGACTTCATTATTTTATATACACAACACGTTACTTTACCATGAGCATCGAAGAACTCGTCGTCTGTACTGTCATCTGAGTCCCGCGCAATGCTCTGCATCCTCCACTCTGAGATACTCTGATGAGACGGACTTCCTGTAGTCACACACATAAGATATCTCAGGGTTATGACCTTCATGCATGATATATTAGGATATATTAGTTGTGTTTGTATGGTACTTATATAATCTTGAAATTGCCGACTCGTTTGTGTTGTCTATGGTAAATGAGAGTTTCTGGTTCTGTCCCCCTCACCTCCTCTCTTCGACGACCTGTTGGAGGATCTGGAGGATGTGGACCACTGCTTGGTGAGTTCTCCTCTCGACTCCAGTGAATCTCCAACCTTCCCGTCCTCTGCATCCTCTCTTTTTGTTCCTTGGGTCTCGGCTCCTGACTCCTGGTCCTGGCCCACAGAGAAGCCCTTGGTCTCCGCTGCGCCCTCCTCACTCAGGCTGTACTGGGCCATCTTCTTGGCCAAAGCCAGCTGAGTCTCCAGCTCCAGCTGCCTGATGTCGTCGATGGTCAGGCCGTACCATTCGTCCTGCCAGCACCAGGCCTGCCTGTGGGCACGCACCATCACTTTACGTAGACCTGAGAGGAAGGACAGTAGGTGTTTACTGACATCTACTTGTATCCGTCATGTCGTCTACTGTAGTGTGTGCAGAACATATAAGAGAACAGTAGATTATACTGTATATATATATATATATGGTACCTATGTCACTTACCTACGCTAACACAGAGGTAAGATCATAATCTAGGACATAAAAAAAATCAGAAGAGTCCGACTTACACCTGAGAGCCATAATGAAGGGCAAAGAGTTTCCAGGAAAAAAATAACAGACAAAAGAAAGTGTCTGTAGCTCTATCCGACGTGTTGTGTACAACTGGCGCGTGACAACGAGTTCCCGTGCAAAATTTTCTTTTAACATTGAATGTCAGGATGATGGAACAACTTTTTTAATTCATTTTATGGAAGATGGCGACACAGCACCGTAGGTCAAGGATGTCGTAAACCCTGTATATGGAGGTTTCATATTGGTGCTGTGTGTTTCTCCAGGTACTCTGGTTCTCCTCCCAGTACGTGGGGGTGAATATGTATGTATATGTGGACCAGTGATGGACCAGTGATGGACCAGTAAACCCCACCGTGGTCTGATGACTGAAGCAGAAGAAGAAGCAATATATTACTTGTAATAAATAAATCAAAATATGAGCACAAGATAGTAAGTCATGCTATACATGAACATCTGTTTTAATAAAGAAATAAATGATAAATGAAGATACGAGGACAGAAGTTCCTCTTATGGACCACAGGACCTGAACTTTAATGGGTATAAATAAAGAAAAGTCATCATCTTTTTTTTTTGTCTGTAACACAGCATCCATCTACACTGACTGTGCGTTTATAACTATTTTCGATCTGTCGCCATAATTGTGTGAATGCACCAAACCATCAGCTCCCATCACGACCTGCTCAGACTGGATTTTCTTTATGCCACAGTGAATTACTTCCACATCAGACTGTCTATAATTTCTCATTCCCTTCCTGTTTTGATTTCCTTTCAAATCCATTTGGTCCTTTCTGTCATGCAAACACCAAATAGACGTCCCGTCTGCTGTTTCGCTATTTTTGCTCCACCATCAATATCAGATGTGCCGGCAAAACACAGAGCACGAAAGCCTGGCATGAGATGAATTTGTAATAGATCATCGGCTTTCAAGGCTTTCTAATTAACACGTTCTAAAATTAGCACCGGCTACTAATTACATGTAAATTAAATTTGCTGAGCCATTTGTAAAGTGCTTGAAAACATTTTTTTTTCATGTTCCTGCTGGCAGTCATGTTTTTGGTCTAAGGCTGATTCCATCGCCAATGGCTGTAGGCTGCACAGGGCGGTACCGAGTTTATTCATTCAACCTCTGCTGCGTAATCCTTTTCAGGGTTACGACAGGGACTGCGGCCAATCCCAGCAGTCATCAAGTGAGGGTGGGGGAGAAAGGTCAGCAGTCCATCACCACATCCTCACATTTACAGAGGGGTGAGGGGGTTTGGGGGTGAGCGTGAGGCTGCTAACAATTCTGCGTTATCCTAGACCCCCAACCGATCCCGTTCATGTCTCAGTCCCACTGACTCTACAGATTCACCAGACAGAAAATCCAACCAAATCAGTAAAGTCAGTTGTAATCGGTAGCATTTAAGAATTTTATCCCAGCTCATCTTTGTTCGCAGGACGCTGACCACGGACCACCGTTCTAGAGCCTCGACCAAAGATATCTCCAGGTTTCTGGTACGATGGTCCTCTGTACAGTCTATACTGACCATGAGTTTGTTTGACCTTTAACTAAATCATATAATATATCTATTTATTTCTGCGTGCATAAGAGAGAGGAGGAAATGCAGCATGAAGCACATTTTCTAGGCTCGTCATTCCAGTATCTTCTGTGTTTGGGTTTGAATGAGCTGTTTACACTGTAAAGAGTGACCGCTCCTGTGTCTCAGACTGGTTCCTTGGACCCAACACTAACTGTGTCTCAGTAGCTTGGACAACCTCACCATGTCCAACACTGACACCACCACAGAACAGTGTCTTTAAAGCTGAATGCTGCAGTGCTAACGTTTAACATTCACTCAAAGTTCCACGTACCCACGTCGTGTATGAAGCGTTCAATCTTGGACTGCATGCCCCAGTATCTGAACTCCACTTTGCAGAGCTTGTAGGCACACATGACGGGGCTCTGGCACATATCCTGGTTGATCTCCTCAATCCAGTTGTCTGACAGTGGACCCCGCTTGGTCTTGACGGACTGGTACAGCTTGGGGTCCTCCTCCACCAGGTACTCATGAGGAGCGATGTAGTCCTTGACGATATCTATCAGGTCTACAGTGGAACACAGAACAGTGTGTGAGTCGGATGCGTGTATCCACGGCAGAGGTGAGCAGCAGGACAGTTGGACTCAGGTCACCACTGAACACCTGCCACCTGAGGCTGCATGTGTCTGCATGGCTCTGGAGCAATTACTCCCAGCAGGGAACGTGTTTTGGCGCAAAAAGCACAATTATATTTTAAATGTTTTTTTAGTGGTACCTTCTGTATCACACAGCTGAGGTTGTTCTGGCAAACCGTACTGTATTTGTCAAGATTATTTTTTTATTTCAATTTGCAAATGCACGGCATTTAAAAATCTCTATTTCCATGTAAAAAGTGACAGTGATGAAGACGTGACGGTGATGAAGACGTGATGGTGATGAAGATGTGACAATGATGAAGACGTGACAATGATGAAGACATGACGGTGATGAAGACGTGACGGTGATGAAGACGTGTGTTCGCTGCTCACCTACGGTTCTTTGTCTCTTCTCAACAGAGGACAGACTGAAGACATTCCCTTGACTTCCAGTGTCTGGTTTATAATATGTCTCTATGTCGATGGAGAACTTCTCCACAAAGGGACAGGTATACCTGCAAAGAAGAAAAAGAAAACAGATTAGAAACTGACTCACTGCTGTCTGCATCCATCCTTTAAACTCAGGGGACTCAAACTCCTGGCCCGTGGACCGAAAGTGGTCCGCGAGAAGATGTTAGCTTAATGTAATCCAAAACCCCTGTTGTTGGTATTTGGTCCCTTCAATGAGATGGCAGGGACAACAGTGGTCCTCCAGCTGTAACTGGACGTACCGTCAGTCACTGACAGAGTCAGTGAGTTTCCACAGGTCATTTAGTCAGTAGATATGGGTTCACATTTATTTCAATTTTCTCACTAAAATTAGTGCTTGGATTAATAATGAGCTTGTTAAGAAGATTAGGAACTTTTGATTCAAACCAAACTTAAAAACATTCATTTGTTTCATAAGGTCATACATTTTCATAGAAAACAAATCCATTTTTCAGATTATTATTATAATTATCATTGTTGTTGTTTTGATCATGATTATGGAGGACTCACCGGGTTCTTGTGTAGGGGTAGGCATTCCAAGACTCCTCCTCTACTCGCAGCGCAGCTTGAGGCAGGATGGCACAAAACCAAGAAGGGATGTGTTTCCCGATATGATAGACCTTGTGTGTGTACTGCCCCGTGCCTCCGGGTCCATCCTTGTACGGCCGGTTTTCCAGAATCTCCACCCCACTTCCCTCACCACAGCTCTCCTCTCTGCTCTTCTTCTGCAGGAACACAGACAGACGAGACGGGACAGTTGGAAACTGATGTTATCGAGGTTACTTATTGTCTTTATTTCTAGCTTTATTTTTCTAGGCCTCTAGATCCTAAGATCTGTTTTTGATTAGAAATGTCTGGCCCGTCATTAAGACTAAAATCAGACAATGGTAAGAAAAATCTCAGCTACGTTCTCTCCCACTGTCCCTCTCCTGGTATTACGTGTAATAATGATTTTGAATTTGGTTTAATTAAAGGTGACATTGCTTTTCCATCTTTGTGTTTAAGAAGGTTTAGAGCTGGTGTTTCATCATGGAAGTTTTTCATCCACATTCTTTCCATTCCAACATTTTTGCATTTAATTAAAGAGTTTCCAGACGGTCATACATGCCATGCCGCATCAATCCTCCCTTTATTTGTCATTGCATAAGAGGAATCTTAAGAATGTTAATAAGCTGTACAGTGTGTGTTATTTTTTTAATGAACTCCATTGATACCACATGTGCTGCAATAGGCCACCCCTTGGTGGCACCAAGTATATGGTTCCTCTGGCAATCAAACCCAGGACTCTCTGCTTAAAAGAAAGGTCTTCTAACTACCCCCGCACAGGTAGAATGCAAAACTTTATTTTTATTTATTCGTTATTTGATTCTGAATAATGTTTTATTTTGAAAAATTACCAGATTCTTTCCGCCGCATCTGTCTATGACTCACACTTGATACATGTCAAGATGCTTAACTCGGTCACATGTCTTACCAACATCCAATACCTTCTTAAACAGTCTGCTCTGGTCGTATGGATTTAATGCGACAGGTTGTTTCCACGCACCGAGTGGCTCTCTAATGAGGCGATGAAGACTTCAAAACTGCTTCACCACTTGGAGATCAAGCGTTCTACATTAAAAGACGAGCCCGATGTTACGAGGACGCTGCTAATAAAGGTTCATGCACAGTGGCTTAACGTTTGTTATTATATTTAGAAAATACCAGTTTTTATGTCGGTCGTATCATTTTATTTAAGGCTAGTCCGGGCAGAAATGTTCAGACATTTAAATGGTCTGTGGTGCATAAAACGTTTGGGGACCGCTGTTCTAACCACTACACCGTGCTAGAAATAACCAGTAATGGGTTTTCAACCCATGTTTTTTTTCTACCAAACTACATTTTACACATTCAGATTTTTTTATTTCATTTTTGCACGTGAGCTTTCACAGAACTCTCTACAATAGTTCAACCTTAGGAAACAAATTTTCATCCAAAAGCTGTAGAGAAGCTCAAACACACGGCTGATGTAAAAAAAGACCAGCGGTTAAAATGAGGAAAGTTGCCAGTTCTTTCTTTTTTTCATTTCCTTTTATTCTTCCACTGCCTATTCATCTAATTTGCTCCCCGCCCTCCTAAAAAAAACCCCACTTCTACTTTTGAAGAAAAGCAGACTTTCCAGATTGCCTTGAAAAAAAAACAATTCTTTTCTGCACAGCATGTGAAGAATCACTTTTAGCCTTTCCTTTCATCAGCGGTCGCCACAGCCGGAGTCCACACAGTGATTTCGCTTTTTTACACCGAAGGCTTTTACTGACGCAACCCAACCTGGGGCTGGTGACGAGGTGAAATCAAACCTGAAGCCTTCTGCATTTTGGGCCAAAATCCTGCCCCCACCCCCTGCCCCCAGCCCATTGCACTCCCACTGTTTATCGCAGCAGGTTATATCCGTTAATAAAAGGCAGCAGATGGTTCAACCCTGCAAGACTGAGCTGAGCATTACGTCTGACTGTACTGGGACCTCAGCGTTACACTACAGCATCATCAACACTGAAACCTGTTTTTCTATCTTACTGATGATATGCAGTTGTGTCATTAATTGTAAAAATAAAACAATCTATGGGGTCCATGTGTCCATCTTCAATTTAAATCCAACTGTTCATTACTATCACTCCAACTTTCTGTTATTTAGAGGCTCGAATGAAGCTTAAAATATTCAGCTGAAGTCTAAACAAAGTGTCAATCTGAGAAGCATCTCTTCCAGCAGGGATTCCCAACCGCTGAACCACAGTCATCTGGATGTTAAAGTATCCAACTTCACTTCACTGATCTAAAAACTGCAAAACTGCCAGTACATTATATATTCTATCACCAGGTGGCAGCAGGTAGTTTAAAAAATGAGAGAGAACATCAGAACTGTTGAAAAAAAATGTTTTTTCTCTTTCTTCAATTCCTGCAAGTATCTCAGTGTTGTATTCAACTAAACAAGTACGTAAAATATACCCGCAGATGTGAATTAGAATGAATCTCTGAATGACAACTTAAATAAATCCATGTTTCTCCTCTGATTCCAATTAAAACTGCTCTGCAAACATGGCGAAGAATCAAATTTGACTGGACTGTTTACAAAGCTTTGAAAAGGGATTTGACTCTCTTTAATATTGTGCCTGGTCCTGTCAGATCGAGGTGACGCTATTTGTGAATGCAAATCACCAGGGTCGTTATTAGCGGCAGGCGTGGAGTGCCGGGGGTCAAGAGCGAAAGCTGAGATCCGACACAGAGCTCCATCTCCCGGACACTTTACAGAGGTGATGTCAGTAATGAAGGTCAGAGGAGGCAAACAGCTGGAAAATTGCTGTAATTTAACAGGTAATGTATTTTGGGTGAGGAGCTGAGGGTCCTAAATTATCCTCCTCAAGACAGAGTCCCTCCTGCTGCAGCACACGGAAGAGAGGTATTAATACACAAATCTCACAGCCCAGGGCAGGGAGGTGAAGTGTTGATTATAGAGCAGTGCCGCAGGAACTTTGAGCAACAGAGGTGAGGAGAAATGACTGAATTATCTGAGTCATCGGCCCTCACTGTTACAGGAAGCTAGCACTGATGGTGAGAGGTGAGGAAGACGGGAGTGTAAATAAGCAGCAGCCCAGTCATCAGCTCAGCAGAGGACCCATATTTACTTCATTAAACAGTAACCTCTACTGCCCCTGTGTTCTGCCCCCCAGTTTAGGTTCTCAGTTTATC